GAGGGAAGACTGGTGATCTGAGCTGATGGAACCATTCACAAATTCCTTGGCGAGATTCTGCACATAAGCAGAAGTTGTTTTGGGCGCTAAGTAACAAGGACACCTCAGTGGTGAGGAGGAGACAACTCATTCCCCACATCTGTGTAAACTCCAGCACTGCCCTAGTGGATTCGTGTGCCTAACAGTGTCTGGGAAGAGTCCATTCTGGCCGGGCCTGAGTGCTCCATGATGGGCATCTTCATTCCTAACATTGGTGAACAACTAGAGTATCTCTAGGAGAAATAACTGAGATGATTCTAAATGGTAATGGCAGCTGCATTTTGATTAAAATGTACACTCCAGGAGCCTGCTAAATACCTCCCAAAATAATAGAGACTCTTTCAGACAGGCCTTAGGATCCTGCTATTGATAAGAGAAGGCCAAGAGTCACTGTTATTTGGATACTAAAAATTAACATGATCTTAGTTATTACTCAAAGCCTGGAGTATCCTAGGTATTTAGATTATATCTCCCAGGGAGCCTATAATTTCTAGTAGAGTGGGACCGTGCCTTAGTCTTCCTTGTATCTTCCTTTCACTATAACTAGAGCAAAGGAGGCTCTCACATAATTTTTATTCAATGCTATAGGTTAGGAAAGAAAGAAGAGTGAAAGGAAGATCTCTCAAATATAGGTACCCCACCCATGATTAAAAAGAACAGTGTAGGATGGCTCAGTTAAGCATTCTGACTCTTGATATCAGCTCAGGTCATGATCTCGGGTCATGAGATCAAGCCCTACACTGAGCATGGAGCCTGCTTGAGATTCTATTTCCCTCTCCTTCTGCCCCTCCCCTACTCAAGTATGCATGCTCTTTCAACCTCTAAAAATATATGAGAAAACAAATAGACCAACGCAGACAGACAAATAAAATTGTGGACACAAGGTGAGAGGGAGAGTTTGCAGTTTTTCTAATGGCTCTTCTTTGAATTATTATTCAAAGAATAATAATAATTACTAAGAGATAATATTATGATCTCTTCTTTGAATTATTCATATCCAAAATTCATGTAGAATAACAAAATATGAGACAAGTGAGTTATAAAGCACAAAATAAGTTTCCCTCAAGATGCTTGAAATCATTGCTTAGCTGAGGAGGAGGAAGAAACAAGGAAACAGAATCGAATCATTCCTGTCTCTAAGTTTTTCACCAGCAACCCTGGTTCCGACTTCCCTGTTTCTCGGTGTGTGTACCTAGACCTCACACCTTGTCACTGCCTCTACTCAACAAGAGAAAATGGGAAGATGATATGAACCAATAAAAAGAAAATTTTTTTTTTAAAAAAAAAGAAAGAGTAGAGAGGGGAGTGGAAAAAACAAATGTCTCAGAAAGCTAGGACCAATCGTGAAGGTACTTGTCACTCTACATACCTGCACGACACTGTTCGTGTAGTAACACAAAGGAGCCAGAGTGTGTTTACAGGAAAGAAAAAGAGATGCGTCATTCAACTGATGTATAAGAAGAACCTAGAGACAACAGAAGCCCCTGAAATGTTGACCTCACAGGAAGACCCGCCTCAGAGGAGGTGGCTTTGAGGTCTAGTGAGCACCTCTCTTGGGCTCTACCTATGGGTCCTCTTCATGTCATCTCTGCCATGGGCACCAGTCTCCTCTGCTGGGTGGTCATCTGGATCCTGGGGACAGGTGAGTTCCCGGCTAACAGATCAGCATCACCAGGCTTTGTCTGTGTCTCTGTAGGCCCTGGACCTTCATGTTGCCCAAAGAGTTTCCAAAAGGTATTGTCATTTAAATGAAAACAAATGATCACATCATGGAGTGAAGAGCAACGTGTATGTGAATATTTACACAAACATAGGAGACTTGAAAGATATTTCAACTCACCTTGGGTTGCTACACTATGACTCTATCTCATGTAATCTCTTCTCCTCTGAGGTTCCACAAATGCTGGCGTCACCCAGAATCCGAGACACCTGGTGAGAAGGACAGGACAAGAGGCAATACTGACATGCAGCCCCGAGAAAGGACACAGTTATTTTTATTGGTATCAGCAGTTCCTGGGGGAAGGTCTGAAATTCATGATTTACCTCCAGAAAGAAACTATCTTAGACCAGTCAGGAATGCCAAAGAAAAGCTTTTCTACTGAATTTTCCAAAGACGGACTTAGCATCTTAAAGATCCAGCCGGCAGAGTTGGGAGACTCTGCAGTGTACTTCTGTGCCAGCACCTAACCCACATCAATGCAGAGTCCCATCCTGTCAATGCACAAACGTCCTCCATGCCCCACCTCAGAACAGCCGTGGGCTGGGGAAGGGAGGGAGGCACATCGTTTGATTAGCGAACAAATTAAGCTAGAAAGAATTTGGCACGGTGAGCATGGAAACAGGGGAGGGCTGTGCAAATATATCAAGGAATATCCCAACCCAGCCTCAGTAACTAACACTGTCAGCAGAAAAAGGTAAAGTTTTTTTTTTTTGTAAAAAACTGGTCATAATTTGGGGCACCTGGGTGGCTCAGTTGTTGAGCATCTGCCTTTGGCTGAGGTCATGGTCCCAGGGTCCAGGGATGGTGTCCCACATCGGGCTCCCTTCAGAGAGCCTACTTCTCCCTCTGCCTGTGTCTCTGCCTCTCTCTGTGTGTCTCTCATGAATAAGTAAATAAAATCTTTTAAAATAAATTAGATACAATTTGTCAGGTAAAATATTTATTGAGGAAAGGTCCTCTTTTCTTCACTTCATACTCTATTTCAAGTTTTCTATGGCATGCTTTAAAGATTTATTTTTTTTATTTAGTTATGAAAGACACAGAGAGAGAGAGAGGCAGAGACATAGGCAGAGGGAGAAGCAGGCTCCCAGCAGGGAGCTCTCTGGCATGCTTTAAATGTAGAGTTTCATTTAATCATCGAAGACAATCAAGCAAAGGAAATATTTTCTTCATTTTCAATGTGAGCAAAAGCAAATACGGTTCCGGGAATTCATTTTCTTTTCTCAGACTCAAAGAAAGAGAGAGAAAGAGAATGAGAAGGAAGAGTACAAACCCAGGTGTGTCTGGCTCATATAGTTGTGCTTTTTATACCACCCTGTGCTGCCTCTTATTCTTTCTGGAACAATCCTGGCTTTGTGTCTCACTTAGTGCTTGTACAGGCATGTATGGATGCCAGGATTAAGAACTCCTGCTACAAGATCCCCAGAGGTGGTGGAAATAGAGTTGGAGATTTGTCTGGAATTTAGGAGAAAGATGTGGTCCCCAAGCATTTTTAATTTGAAACATATCACCTGGGGGCGTCTGGGTGGCTCAGTTGATTAAGCATCCGACTCTTGATCTCAGCTCAGGTCTTGATCTCAAGGTCTTGAGTTCAAGCCCTGCATTGTGCTCCAGGCTGGGCATGAAGCCTCCTAGAGAGAAAAAAAGAAAGAAGAAAGAAAGAAAGAAAGAAAGAAAGAAAGAAAGAAAGAAAGAAAGAAAGAAAGAAAGAAAGAAAGAAAAGAAAGCAAGCTCAACTTTTTGTTATCTCAGTGATTTTTTAAAATTCTCATCAGTCAACAAACATTGGCAACTTACAGAAAAGTGTTTATTATCACTTGCTTTGATGGGACAATTTCAGAAAATCAAAAGGCAAGTGAACGCAAAGTCACTTCAAATGTATATGTGCCAAGGAAGTCGGCCCTCACCAGGATGGGGTAGAAATCATGTCACTTTACTATGTTTTCTGTTTCTGCCTTTTGATATTTTGAAGTTATTTCACATGCTCTGGCTCTCCCCTCCCTGCTAGGATGGAGGAGGGCAGTGGCTGGGTGCCAGTTGGGAGGTGGGGAGACACCCTTAGAAGAATATCCCTGAGCAGGACTTCAGGAAGCTTCCATAGCACACTCCATGTGAAAGACCAGGAATGTAGTCTTCCAAGAGTATAACTTCTGAGGGAGGAAAAAAAAAGAAAGGCAAAAGGGTCGTTTTGCAATTTGGTACTGAAGGGGAAAAAGAAGAAAAAGTGTCTAAGAGAACCTGCAGCTTTTCCCCAAAACAAGAGAGTCACAAACTAAGGGGACCTACCCCACCCCCATCATGAATGCCAACCAACCAGACCACCAAACCAACCAAACCAACCAAACCAACCTGGGCTTTGCCAGAACAGTGAAAACAGATGCCATTAAGCTGGGCATAGTGTAAAACACCCCAACATCATGAAAATGAGTAAGAAGAAAGTAAAATCTATAGAATAGAGAAAACCACACACACACACATTTTTCACAGACTCTCCCCCAAAATGATCATGAGTCAGGAGAAAATGTGAGTCTACAATCCAAACAGAACTCAATACACTCAAGCAAGCAGCTTAAGATAGGATAACCCACCTGTAACCAGAAGTTCGGAGACAAATGAAAGAAAAAGTTTATTAAACTCAGAGAAGAAATGAAAGAAAAGGACAAAATTATCTAAGAACTAGAGAATAAGTGAAAAGATACCCAAGTTAGAAAAACTCAAATGGTAAATGAGTGTGGGAATGGAAGAAAGGCATGGGGACATGCAAGCAAACGAAAATGACAGACAGAAGTCTAACCAGCCAGGGAGAAGGGGTCCAAGGAAAGCCAGAGCTTGCCATGCGTGCAGGATGGATGAGAGTGGGGTGCTATGTGCCCCAGCTGTGGGATGAAAATGAATTCTAGGTTCTTGTCTGACCAGTGTCTACAGAGCTCCCAGAGTAATGGAAGCGTACAGTAACTGGGATGGTAAAAGCAGGGGCCAATCAGAGAGAGACTGTGGCCTGCAGCCCTGGGGCCACCTGCCCACTCAGCCCAGGTGGAGGCAGTTTGGGGAGGGAGGCCCACGGGGGTGCAGGTGCTTCAGCTCCCCTGTCTGTCTCTTTCTCTGCAAAGTGAGGGAGCCTGTCTGGAATATCTCTGGGGTCCTTTCCAACTATCCATTCCAGCCTTCTGACAAATTCTGCATATTAAGCCAGGGGATCCCCAGAGCTAAGTTTCTTTCCTTATTTGTTTTCCAGGAGGTGCTTAGAGCTGCAAGGAACCCACCCTTCCCATTATGGGTAACCAGGTGATCTGCTGTGTGGCCCTTTGTCTCCTCGGAGCAGGTGAGTCCTGGGGTCGTGGAACAAATTCCTGTCCCAAGGGTGTGAAGCTCCAAACCTAAGCCTTTTCTCCCATGACAGCAGCAGTAAGCACCTTCCCAGGCTGTGTTTCTAGAGCCTCTCTTTCTTCCATAGGAACAGCAAGTGGTGGAATCACTCAGACCCCCAAATATTTGTTCAGAGAGGAAGGACGAGGCGTGACTCTGGAATGTGAACAGGATTTTAATCATGACTCTATGTACTGGTACCAACAAGACCCAGGGCAAGGGCTGAGACTGATCTACTACTCGCTGGTAGAAAATGATGCTCAGAAAGGAGACATACCTGAAGGCTACAGTGCCTCTCGGATGAAGAAGGCATTCTTCTCTCTCACCATGACATCGGTGCAAAAGAACCAGACAGCTCTATATCTCTGTGCCAGTGGTAGAGACACAGTGAAGCCCAGCCACCTCCTCTCTATGCAGAAATGGGTCTCAAGCCCTGAGTTCCCACCAGGTGGCAGGACTTTTCCTCTACCTGCCAAAGCACCCAAAGCAGCTGCTGCCATCAACGTGCTTTGTAGAATGGCATTACACCTCGGCCATCCACTAAGTTAGTTTTAAGAATTACATCTATATCTACATCAGAGAGAGATAAAGACAGAAAGAGGAGAAGAGGAAGGGGGAGGAGGAGGAAAGGGTGGAGGAGGAAGCAGGAGGAGGTGGGGAGTGAATGAAGCAGAAGGAGGGGTGAAGGAGGAGAAGGAAAGAGTGGAGGAAGAGGAGAGGGTAGAGGAGGAGGAGGAGGAGAGGGTAGAGGAGGAGGAAGAAAAAGAATAGACAAAAGAAAAAAATATTAATTTTACATCCTAGCTCTTCTTACCAAATACTGGAAAACTAAAATGAGCAGAAAATGGTCCCTTCCTTCAGAATACTAAAAGCCAAGCAGGGACAAAAATGTGTAGGAGACAAATATTGTGATGAAGTTTCATACAATATATGCTTAATCGGAGACGTCAGTGGGCTTTAGGAGATAACATGGCTGGTTTTGTCTGGTGACATCAGGAAGGGCTTCAAAAGAAGGCAAAACCACACAATGAAACTCAAATGATGAATCAGATTTCACCAAGTGGACAAGAACCCACAGTGATACAGCCTTAAGGAGGGAGTGATGAAATAAAATTATGAATGAAGATGGTCACCTCCACCCCCAGAATATGGCAACAAAGATGATTTAGAAAAATGAGTAGAGTGAGGGTATTGAACACAACTGAGTTTCTAGTTCTAGGGAAACTTCCTTGGATACTTGCATTGAAATACCTAGTAGGGGGGGCACCTGGCTGGCTCAGTCAGTTGGAAGAACATGAGACTCTTGATCTTGGGGTGTAAATTCAAGCCCTATATTTGGTGTAGAGATTACTAAAAATAACTAAAAACTGGGAAAACAAAAAAGAAAAATAAATACCCAGTAGGCTGGCTTGGTGCTTAGGAGGGAGAGTTGGTCTTGAGAGAAACATTTGCATGATTAATCAGCAGACAGAGGATCAGCATTATTTTACAAATGCTTATTTTTCTGTGTGGTTTCTCCCTTTGTGGTCTGACACCTATCTATCAAATTAAGGCAAGTGATGTTAATTCTTGGGACTTCATTTGTTTAAAAATATTTATTTGGTCACATAATTCTGCTTGCGGAAATGAATGACAGTCTATATTATTCAGATTATCCCTCCCATTGCATATAACTAAAAATGCTGGATTAAATATATTTTTTAAATATTCTTGGAAACATTTAAGAACCTCAGCCTGTTCTCCTGCATGGCTCTGTGTCTTCCAGGACAAATAATTTCTGGGAAAACACAAGGAGTCCCTGACCATTACATATAAGTCTGGGCTTTGTGCATTTTATTTGGATTCTTTTCTGAATTGTTAGCTTTGGATTTCTTCTCCCATATATTCTATGGAAGCTTGACTCACACAGAGACCAAAGTACTGAAAAACAGAAATAGGAAAGAGACACTAGCTTATGAATAGGAATTACAACGCTTAAATGTAGTATGATGAGCACTAGACCTCATTGCAATTAATGTCCTCTGATATAGTAAAGAAGCCATCAGAAATGGGATGGATCTAAGATGCTTTACTTTGTCCAGAGCATGTTCATTGATACCTCCAGATCAATCATTTCCTGAGCCAGCTGCTGCAGTCATGGACCAGTGGGAGAACAGTCCCTAGAGTTCTCTGCTACCTGGTGCAAGCCATATTCCAGAGGTTATGGGATGGGGTGAGGCTATCTGTCCAGTGAGAGAGAAGAAATGAAGGAGAGCACAGTAGTAGACAGACAATTTCATTTTTATTATCTTAGACATAACTTAAAGGGTACAGACTTCCTCCTGTTGGTTGATGAACTTATGAAACAAAGAATATAGACTTTACATGATTTTTAAGCCTCTGTTCTAAAACGATTGAAACATTTACTTTCCTTTTCAGAGTGGTCCTGATTCTAGAAAGAACCTTTTAGCTGTGGTTTCTTTTTTTTTTTAAGATTTTATTTATTAATGAGAGACACAGAAAGAGAGAGAGAAAGAGAATGAGAGAGAGAGAGAGACCTAGGCAGAGGGAGAAGCAGGCTCCATGCAAGGAGCCTGATGTGGGACTCAATACTGGATCCCGGGATCACATCCTGAGCCAAAGGCAGACGCTCAACCACTGAGCCACCCAGGTGTCCCAGCTGTCAAGTTTCATAATAACCCCCATTCCAGTGACCAAGTTGTTAAGAGTCATTGTATGAAATGAAAATCCAAAAAGTCAAAATATCACTAAATTGTTCCTTAGAAAGCTTTGAGGAGTCATTGTATCTATTAATGAAGAAGAATAATTTATAGAAAAAATATAGTCAAAGAGCTATCATATTTCTTAGCTACAGTAAAAGTAATTTCTGAATTTAAGATTACACTGGAAGCAATCAGTAGTAAATTAGACAAACCAGAAAACCAATTTGCTAGTTGTATGCAAACTCAGGGGATATTTCAGGATTCTAAGGAAATAGGAAAAGATATGTGAGAAAAATAATATCACAACAACTTTATTCATGATGACCTCAAATGGAAAAACACTCAAATGTCCATCAACAATGCAATAGACAAATAGTCTTTTCATTTGTAGAGTAGAATAAAATATAGCAAAAAAAATCAAATATTATTTGCAAAATCATGGGTGAGCCTCATAGACATGATGTTGAACAAAGAAGCCAGACACAAAGGTACATACTGTATGAAGTTAGAGCAGTGGATGCATGTGGAGGTATTTTTAATTTACTGGGAGAGAAGCATGAGGGAGGAGTCTGGGGTTCTGAAAATGTCCTCTATCTTGATCTAGGTGCATTCATTTCTGAAAATTCACTAAACTTTATACTTAAGATTTGTGCAGTCTATTATATGTATTTTAAGTCTCTCTTTAAAAGCTTAGAAACACCATCATCCCTAATGGCTAACAATAAGAATGTATTCTCTGCCATGGTTCTGTGGTTTGAATGGGCTCTGTTAGGCAGTTTCCACTTGGGATCTCTCATGAAGTGACAAACAGATAGTCACCAAGGCTGAAGATATCTGAAGGCTCCCCTGGGCTGGATATCCAAGATGGCTTCTTTATACACATATCTGATACCTCACCTGGGGTGACCAGGACAGCTCTAGACCAGGCCTGCATATCTCTCTTTCTCCACATAGCCCTTCAACACAGTTAGGTGGGTTTCCTTACAACATGGTAGCCTCAGGGTAGTTCAAATTATTACATACTGGCTGGCTTCCCCAAGAGTAAGCATTCAAGAGACCCAAGTGGAATCTATAAGAGTATGTATGAAAATCATACAGTGCCCCTTCCATCACATGCAAGTCAGCCCTGATCCTTAGAGGAATGTGAATGATGGTAAGTATGGTGGTTCATCTGAGTGCCATCTTTGAGGAGTAGCTACCATAATATAATAAAATGGTACTACTGATCTCATTCCTCACTATCTTAGACCGATGATGACTTTGGAGAATGGCAACAGCTGCTTCATTTGCAAATATTTTTCTTGAGGTCAACTCTAATCAAGAGCTATACCACAAAGAAAGTTCTAGGAAATGTATTTCTTCCTTAGCTGACTCTGAATTTAAAACACCATAGGTATATGTATACTTGAGGGCTAACGGTCCTCAAAGGAGTAGAAAGATTTTCTTTTGCTCCAGGGGCTTCCAGAGACTTCATCCCATATATGTGTCATAATGTTGTGGAGAAATAATACATTGCAGGTACATTCACCTACTCTTTGCAGGGAAAACGTACAGTTATGGTGGGAAGTGACCCACCAGGATGTGGTCTTTCTCCATCATGAAAAAAAATACAGCCACAGAAGCATATCAGATGCCTTTTAATACATGTACCCATATGATACGTATAGTAATATTTACTACACAATATTATATTTGTTATGATAAAAATCTACATCAATATAGTACAACAGAATTTGATGGATCAAGTCCTAGTCCACCTTGCTGAGTTATTCACTCCAGATATAAAGAACTAAATACTAATGAAGCACAACTGAGAGGTTGTTATAAGAGTGAAAGTATAATGCTTTGGAGAAAAATCTTTAACCTTGGAAATTGCTATACTTTTCTGAGCATGAGCCATTTAAATACAAATTCCAGCATGTTCAAAAGCAGAGATAATATCCTAAATCTCCTAGAACCCACTGCCACTGGCCAATACTTAGCATATGACCTGTATCATGGTGAAAGAGCTGTAAACAAATTATCCTCCTAGCCTCCACAGTGTTGTACACTGAGACTTACAGACTCTGATAAATAGCCATGTGTGGTATTAGGTCTGTCAATATGAGGGAGACTGGCATGAGGCAGTTGTGAAATAAATACTTCATTTAGAAGATGAGAAGTTGTCCTTCTTATCAGTATGAGAAACATTGAGCTTAGAGCCCAGAATTTCTGAGTCTCACTCACAGTCCTAGTGATTAACAATCATGAGTTGTTTCCATTACTTTGAGGATACGTTACAGAAATAAAGGACTGACTGTTATTCCATTTGCTACACAAACATATAGTCTTTTTCTTGAATAAAGCCAAGGAACTTGTTTAAGTCATTTCAGTGATCTGGGTCTTAGTGTTTTATAAAGTTAGGAGTAGAATTAGAACATCTGAGGCCCCTTTCAACCACGTCTGTGTGGCTCTTTCATAGAGCACGGATCCTGTACCCCTGGCAAAAAAAAAAAAAAAAAAGTCACCACCAGGGGGTGGACTGAGGCATCGTCAGGATTATGTAAACCGTGGTCCATCCTTCTAGGGGTGGAGAAAGAGAGAAGGAAGAGCGTGGTCTATCTTGAGAGAGGTATGGTATGAGGCCATCACCTGAAGATGCTGATGCTTCTGCTGTTCCTGGGGCCCAGTGAGAACCTTATTATCTGATTCGTTTGGCAAGTGTGTGTGTGTGTGTGTGTGTGTGTGTGTGTGTGTGTGTGCGCGCATTGGCATGAGTGAAGTAGATTTTTTTTTTTTTATGCAGAGCAAACCGAGAGGGGACATCCCCACTCTCTGGAGGGATGAAGGGTCAGGTGAGAAGTCACCAGGCAGGGGAGATGGGTGATCATGGTCCTAGGGCATCTAGCAGGAAGATTCACCAAAAGACAGGAATCTCTGAATGCTGGGAGAAGGAAGAGGGAGTGTGGCTGTGAGTTTCATGCTGTGGTCTCATGCGACAGTTCTCTTGGCCTCCGTCACCTCTTTGACCTCTGTTTGGACAGGCTCTGGACTCGGTGCCCTCGTCTTCCAGGTGCCCAGCACAATGATCTGTAAGAGTGGAGCCACCGTGCAGATCCAGTGCCAAACAGTGGACCTCCAAGCCACAACCATGTTTTGGTATCGCCAGTTCCCGAAGCAGGGCCTTACCCTTATGGTGACCTCTAACGTGGGCAATAGTACCACACATGAGCAGGGGTTCCCTGCAGCCAAGTTCCCTGTTAGCCACCCAAACCTCAAGTTTTCCTCCCTGATGGTGACGAACTCAGGTCCTGGAGACAGTGGCCTCTACTTCTGTGGTGCTAGTCACACAGCCTGGAGCAGAGATGAGAGACCCAGACAAGAACCCCAGTCCCAGCCCCCTGGTTCCCACCACCCTGAACCCGAACCCTGGAGGTGCTGGGGAGTGAGGCTGGGGAGAGGAAACCACAGCTTCCCTGTTTGATACATCTGTGTGTGTCAGAGACAGAGAGAGAGGGTTGGAGAGAGGGAGTGAGAAAGGGAGGGAGGTAGAGAGGGAGGGAAGGAGAGAGAGAAAACATCTGAGCACAGAGTGTGGAGAAGGTTGGGTGTTTGAGAACTACACCCAGTGGTCTTGAGCACCTTTCTGTATAACTGTTGTCTATTTACATGTCTTCTTTCCATGAAGAAAGCTCATGTGGGAATGAGCTGGGTCCTATAAAGTGGCCCACTGCCATGGAAATACCCCTGAGCTAAAAACTGTAAGACCTAGGTTTTTTCCTGACTGCCCAGCACACATCAAGGGAGGAATTCCACAGGTTTCTAGGAAGTCAGGGTCCTAATTTATGTCTCTCCTATCCTTGGATATTCCTATTCTGTGTGTCTACTTTTTACCTCACACATGAGAGATCTGCAAGGTTGTGAGTCAGCTGGCACTGCAATGCAACATGGCACAAAAAGAATTTCCAGGAGTAGTTTATGGGAGTCCCATTCCGGCTGCTCCAGTATATACCCTAACTCAGGCATCCACAGTAAGCATTTGATGGGCTCTATCGCAACCTCCTACCCCTTTGGCTGTTTTTTCCATTCTGTAATATGGAAAGCCCTCTGACTACTTCTGACTGACCAATAGTCAATTAAAAATACTCTCTAGGGGCAGCTGGGCGAGCGTCTCAGTGGTTGAGCATCTATCTGCCTTTGGCTCAGGTCGGGATCCCGGGGTACTGGGATCAAATCTCTTATCGGGTTTCCCACAGGGCACCTGCTTCTCCCTCTGCCTATGTCTCTGCCTCTCTCTGTGTCTCTCATGAATAAATAAACACAATCCTTTTAAAAACAACACTTCAAATAACTAAAGAAATTATGATTAGTTGATGTCTTTATCATTTTTTCCTTGCTCCCAAAATGTTCATGAAAACAATCAAAATAACATCCACCTTTTAAAAAGTTACTTGATTGTGAGTAAACCCTCTGGGTTCACTGTCCCCAAAGGGGTGGGGGTAGGGATGGCTCAGACCTTTGAAATACTCCCCCTTACAAGTGGAGGGCTGAACCCAGGAGAGGCAACAAGGGAATGTTACCATGTCTTGGATAGAAACTGAAAGGCCAGTAGAAAATCTTAGTTTTAAGTTTCTCAGTGGTATAAAACCTCCAATTCACTGTTTAAAAGGAAAACAAACATTTTATTCTCATGTTTCCCCCTTGTCTATTTTTGCTTTTGTTGTCAGTGCTTTTAGGGTGATAAAAAATCATAGCCAGGACCATCATAGACAAGTGTTTCTCCTGTGTTTTCTTTTTAGAAGTTTTATAGTTTCAGGTCTTATGTTTAAATCTTTGATTAATTTTGAATTTATTTTTATGCATGGTACAAGATAGGGATCCATTTTCAATCATTTGCACATGGATATCCAGTTTTCCGGACACCATTTATTGAAGAGACTGTCCTTTCCCATTATGGCACCAGTTGGCCAGTTGACCATGTATGAGTGGGTTTATTGCTGGCCTCTCTATTCTGTTACACTGGTCTACATATCTGTCTTTATGCCAGTACCATACTCTTTAATTATTGTATGGAATTGGAGAAAATGATTGCAAACCACATATCTGATAAGATGTTAATATCTAAAAATATATAAGAAACTCCTACGACTCAGTAGCAAATAAAAAAGTAATAACATGATTTAAAAATTGCCAAAGAACTTGAATAAACATTTCATGGAAAGAAGACCTGTAAACTGACAACAGTTATATAGAAAGGTGCTCAAGACCACTCATCATCAGGGAAATGCAAATCAAAACCAAAATAAGCTATCATTTCACATGACTATTATTAAATTTTTTAAAATTTTTTTTTAAATTTATTTATGATAGTCAGAGAGAGAGAGAGAGAGAGAGAGAGGGAGAGAGAGAGAGGCAGAGACATAGGCAGAGGGAGAAGCAGGCTCCATGCACCGGGAGCCTGATGTGGGATTCGATCCAGGGTCTCCAGGATCGCGCCCTGGGTCAAAGGCAGGCACCAAACCGCTGTGCCACCCAGGGATCCCTCACATGACTATTATTAAAGAACAAAAGATAAATATTGATGAGGATGCGAAGAAATTGGAACCCTTGTACATAATTGGTGGTATAGCTGCTATGGAAAGCAATATGGAGGCTCCACAAAAAATTTAAAAAAAATAGAACTACCAGCAATCCCACTTCTGGATATATACCTAAAATAATTGAAGGCAGGACCTTGAGAGGTGTCTGGACGCCCATATTCGTTACATTATTCACAACAGCCAAAATATGGAAACAACTCAAATGTCCATTAGTAGATAAATGGATAAATAAAATGTGGTATATACATATAATAGAACATTTTTAAGCCTTAAGAAAGAAGAAAATCCTGCCATTTGCAACAACATGGATGAAGCTGGAGAACGTGCTAGGTGAAATAAGTCAGTCACAGAGACATGAATAAAGTATGATTCCACTTAGATGAAGTGGCCAAAGGAGTCAAAGTCATAGAAGCAGAAAGTAGAATGGTGATTGCCAAGGTCTATGGGAAGGAAATGGGATTTGTCGGATTGACAAAAAAAATTCAGTTATGCAAGATGAAGACTTGCTTGAGATCTGCTCTACAACATAGCGGTACACCGTAGTGCCTACAGTTAACAATACTGTGTTGTACTCTTCAAATTTGGTTAAGAGGATAAGTCTCATGTTAAGTGCTCTTGCCACAAAAACATAACAAGGGACACAAGGAAACTTTTGGAGGTGACAGATATGTCTGTTGGTTTGTGGGAATGATTTCATGGAGGCACACCTATCTCTAAACTCACTGAACTCTATTCACCAAATATGTGCAGTTTTTCTGCACATATTCTGCAATTTTATCTCAATAAAGCTGTTAAAAATAAGAGGAAAGTAATCTGATATTGGGGGAAAGGGCCTCTAAAACACTAACTTACATATTAAAGGGAATTGGTTGCCTGGATGCCAGATGAGCTCAGAGGGATGAGAAAAGAGACAATTGACCACAGTTTAATGAGAACAGAAACTCTAGCCCCGTGTTCCTAAGCAACAGGAGCTCATACATATTCTTTCTGAAAGAAAGGCATAAAAAGCCTCAGAAACCACTACTTTCTGTCTCTAGGTCTCTTAAAGTTTCAAAGTCATAGGAAAAAAATATTTGTTGAGGTCTGGTGTCTCTGCCCCTGTATCAGTCAGGCGGAGGAGCATATTGTGTGGACCGAGCTGCCTCTGCCTATGACACAAGAAGACCTAATAGGGTGCCAGAGCAAGTTCCTAGAGGAAGTCATGTTTAAGATGACGTCCTAAAGATGACCTGGAGTTAATTAAGTGGGACTGGGGATAATGAACTGACTGGCATGGCTGGAAGATCCAGTGCAACATTTTTCAGGCAGGAAAGAAATTGGTGTGTTCAGTGAAAGGTGTCGGTAGTAAGGTGGCATGAGCAAAGAGGAAAGAAGGGGGTGAGTACAAGGTGAGATTGGAGAGAGCTAAAAATTCAGGACATTCAACAAGGAGAATGAAAAAGCATGATCCCTTGATGATGGAATATACAAAGAGAATTGTAGAGAACCTAGGGCAGAAATTTAAGGAGCATGCTCACCTTGAATGGTGGCTAGAAATGGTTGAGAAGGAAATTATACTACTAATAACACGTCTATGTAGTATGGAGGCACATGCCACAGGAGGGCTGCTTGTTTCCTAGTCGGGCTCTGATACTTGAGGTTCCTGGCTGCTCCATTGCAACATGGAACTGGCAAAACCTCTCACTCACCTCAGGGCAGATGGCGGCAGTATCAGAGGGCATCTGGTGAATTTGCTCCCTTTGACCACTAAGAGGTGATGCGGATCTTTCGGTAAAATACCTCTGGCACATAAAGAGCAATCATAGATCTTCCATGTTCTGAGTTGTTGGATACTTTGGGTTCCTCAGGTGAAATATTTTAGGTGCTGGTTGGGAGAATGAATTGCAGCATTTTTGGAGCATTTCTTGGGATGCTCATAGACCCTTGAAATAGTGGAACCCAACAGCATTTACCATATATTTGGTTTCTATAGTTGTCCAATGCATACACAATTGGTAAATAAGCAAATAAATGCCATCATCGTTTCTAGGCAATATTATGCTGAATCTCCAGCCAGTGGAACAAGAAAAATTGGATGATAATGAGAAAGGAAGAGGAAAATGTGATATCTACAGATGATCAGTTTAAAAGAAGAGCGAGGGGTCCCTGGGTGGCTCAGTGGGTTAAGCATCCAACTCTTGATTTCAGTTCATGTCATGATCTCTGGGGGGCGAGATCAGCCCCTTGTCAGGCTCCATGCTGGGCACATGGGGTCTGCTTAAGATTCTCTCTCCCTCCGTACCCCACTGGTTCTCTATCTCTCTCTCTAAAAGATACATACATACATATAAACCCAAAGGAATCTAAAGAATCATTGTATTATTAATCACAAAATCTAGTAAATTTTAAGTTTTCTGAATTCAAAATTAACATAAAAAGTCAGTTTTTTTCCATAAACTAGTGAGTTAAAAGCTATATTTTTTAAAGAGAGAGACCATTTATAAATAGTAACATAAAATATAAAACAGTTAAGAACAAATCTATACAAGCAACACCTTGATACAAAAAATTATTAAAATTTAAGAAATAGACAATTTCTTAAAAATCTGATAAGTGTAAAAACATGCCATGAAAATGAATAAGTAAACCCAAAAGTACAAACATTCCAGTTTGTGCAATTTCTTCTGTATTCAATGCAGCACTAATTAAAATCACAAAAGAGCACCCTACCAATCGTGCAATTATTTTATAACTTAGGATAATGGAAAAAGGCATAAACAAAGAGACAAATGGAAAATAATGCTAAGATTAAAAATAGTGCCATGCATCTAAGGCATCTAATACATGACAACCATCACTGGATGTATAAGGGAATGATGTAATACACAGTAAGTTCAGTAAGTTA